GATTCGGTGACTGGGGTAATCGGGATGGGTGTGTCAGAGGCAGTGCTGTTGGCGCAGGATAGGTAGAGCAGGGTTTAGGGCTGTTGTGCATAGGGTCGCTATGAGTCGGAAACGACGCGACGGCACATAACAACAACAACAACCCTCCAGTCATACAAATGTGTACTGGAGGGTACACAACAAAAACAACTTTATTTTTTATTACTTTATGGTCAGTTGTAAAGTGATGAAATTCTCATTAAAAGCCCAGTAGGTTTTGTGCTCCACCCCCTCACCCTGGACCCCTATACCTCTTTTTTATTGTGGAAATTGAAGATTTAAAATGTGTAGGGTAATACTGTGGGCCCAGAAGGAAATGTCAGTGAAGAAGCATGATTTATACTCTTGTCAAATAATTTTCAAACTACAGTGACTAAGACAGACACAGTCTAGAAGGCTAGGACAGAAGCCCAGGAGCAGGTCCACTTGTTTACAAGCAGTTGATTTACAACACAGACACTGCTGTAGGGTAAATACGTCAATGGGGAAAGTGTGCTTCTTGCAGTAAATACCAAACCCCAGCCCCAAGCGCTGCTGTGTCAAGTTCAGCTCCTGGAGCCCTCCACCAGGTATCCAAGGCTAAATCCTTTTGAAAAAAATGACTGGAGCAGGTGGATTTGAACTGCTGACCTCTTAGCCTACATCATCACCACGATCTTTGTGGATTAAAACTTGACCTTTCTTTACACTGATTTATTTTGATTTGGATTGCGGGTCTAAATGTGAAAGTCACAGGAAATGAAACCTGTAGAAGAGCAGAGTATAACAAAAGCATAATTATGATACCGAATGAACAAAGACTTAAGAAAATATTGTTGTTGTTGTTGTATACTGTCGAATCAGAATCAACCCATAGCTGACTGGTTTTCTGGCAGGTTTTCAGAGGTAGTTAATCACACGGCAGGAGATTGCCCATCCTTCTCCTCTGGAGCAGCTGGTGGCCTCAAACCTTGTGCCTTTGAGATTACAGGGCAACTCCTTGCCACTAGACCAGCAGAGATATTTATCTATATATAACATATATAATACGGCTATTACACACATATATCACATATATATGTGTGTAAAACATAATTTGGGAAGCAGGGCTTTATAAGGAGGAAATGTGGCATCACGACTGAAGGAAGACTCATCAACTTTTTCTTTCAGTGCTAGTGATTCTTGATCGTATTTCCTTGACACAGTGACAAGAACAATGGAGCTTACGAAGATGGCATTGGAAGGACAATGTTTCAATCTGTTGTTCAGAGGGTTGCTATGAGTCAGAGTCCACTCAAGGACACCTAATAACAATCAGCATGAGAGAAAAGGCTCCAATTTCCTCACCTCTTAACAAACATTTACTATTTTCTTTCTTTTCTCCCTTTAAAAAATATCATTCATCCTTAGGTGGCATTGCAATAGCATTTCATTATAGTTTTGAATAGCAATGAGGTTTTGTAACTGGTATTTTGCAGTTAAAGCATATCTTAATTGAACTGTTGTCAGATCTTACTGAATTGAGGACAACTCATAGAGACCTTAAGAACAGCAGACTTGAACGCTGCCCTACCCTGTGCCATCCTCATCACCTCTGATATACTTGAGCCCGTTGCTATAGTCTCTGTGTCAATCAACCATCTTGTTGAGGGTCTTCTCCACTTCCCCAAGCATGATTACCTTTTCCAAGGACTGGTCCCTCCTAACAACATACTCAAAACATGTGAGATGAAGTTTCACTGTCCCAGTCTCCAGGGAGTGCTCTGACTGCACCTTATCAGGACAAATGTTAGTCCTCCTGGCAGTCCACGGGATACTCAGCACTCTTCTCCAACACCACAGCTCAAAGACAATTGGACTAGCCTCATTTCAAATGCTCAACAGCCACACTTTGCCAAATAGCTGCTATACTGGGCAGTAAAAATGTAGGTCCTGA